ATTGCAGCAGGTCGCGGATGTACTGAGGCCACTCACGACCCAACGTCGACACTAAGATTTGTGGTTGAAAGGGCTAGGGCTAGGCTCTTATAGGCCTTAGTTCAAACCCCAGGTGAGGGTTCTGATTTTTGGAAGATGTTCCAAGACAGGCATCTTTGCTCATTGAAATCACGTGCACAAGGTTGGAAGACCAGATTGCGGGTTCTTTCGGCGCTGGGGCTTCTGGACCCAGCTCCTGAATGTATACGACGGTTCTGCAGAAAATCCTGCATGACCTGAAGTAGCCGAAACCATGGGAAGTATGCAATAGTGACATACTGCTTCCTATGGATTTTGCCAAGTTTCCAAAGTTTTCCCGGAACGCATGATTAAGTGTCTGTTTCGGTTTGGCTTTCTGTCAGAGGCCACAGGCTCTAGGGCCTTGTCATCAGGGCGCTGTGTGACGCCCGAACTCGCGATACCCAAGACCCGGAGGCACTGAACTCCGTGTGAGTCAGGGTTTGCGACCGAAATCCCCAAACCCTAACGCCCGACACCCCTGCACGACTTTCAACCCACACACTACAGTGTAGAAGCCTGCCATTCCTTTGCGTTTCTCATTACGATTAAAGCTCCATCCTACGGCCTGCAGGGCGGCCAGCACCGCAGAGGTTCGGACAGGCAGCATAAAGCCCCGGTCCTTGGCACGGTTGAACGTTTTTTTTTTTGTGGGAAAAGAAGGCACGGCTGAAGTTAGGCCTTAGGGTTTAGGGTTCACCGGTCTCGGCTGAGGGTTTAGTTTGGATTTGCTCCGTGAGAGCATGGAATCTGGAGCATGAGAAAGAGCTGGTAGCTGTGCTGGGTGATTTGATATGATTCTTGTGCATACGACTATATAGATAGACTGTTGGTGCTTTCATGAGGTGGTCCGCAAGTGTCCCTAATACAACTTGCTAAAATACTCTTCGTCACTGTTGTCGACACAGTCCATGTTGCTGCGGCCCTGAGCTTCGCTTATCCAGCGTGCTTCCACGGTGTAGTTTTTTTGTTACCCATAGGCCCCTAAGTAGTTCCCTTTTTGTGGATTATATTTAGAATTAGAATCCTACAAGGCAATCCCCAAAAGGAACTACTTAGGGGCCTATGGGTAAAGTTGGGTTGACTGGGTTATCTGTGTGCGGACGCGCTCGAAGACACACAGCGGAGAACGGCTGGGCCGGGAGTTCGCTGACTTAGCCCATGGCCGCGCCTGGGACGACTCCCGACACCCCTAACCCTAAACCCTAAACCGACATCTCCCAAAACCGCATATCCTCAACTTGTCACCAAAAAACCAAGAGAACCAACTCTGAAAGTCGGATGATGTCCAAGAGTGGTGTTTTTGTTGGCTTTCTACTGGGAGAGCCTTTGGAGTAAAACTAGTTAGTGACTAGTAGGTATACTCAGGCACCTATACTACACCTCAAGCCCTCAACCCTTGGCATGTCCGGTGGACAATTGAACCTGCAGTTTCGCTTGACACGTCAGAAGCCCGACAAAACATAGAGGAAATAACGGCTATGGGTGTTCGGGCTCAGGGGAACTGGTTTGGGGCTTCGGCTCGAAGCCCGTTTGCTAAAGCCACAAAAAGATACTTGAGGGTTTAGGGTTTAGGGTCAGACCTTACATTTTCAAGCGCTACCCTAAACCCTAACCCCTGGTTCAATCCGAGTTCAAGACGAGACGAGTTCGCAACTCTCGTACCAGCCACGGTAGCCACTTGGGGCCTGGACGCGGAGTTTAGGGTTTCGGGGGGTTCCAGGTTTAGGGCTTTTGGGCTCTTTAGGGCTTGTAAGGCTTTAATAGCGGTCTAGATGAGAACCTGAAAATGAAGGCTCCCCAAAAATCGATGCTGAGAGATCCTCAATGTCTAGCTGGTCTTTCGAAGGCGCCGAGTTTGAGGTTGGTTTTGGGGCATCTCGAATTCAGGCTCCCGAACTTGACGGCCTCAACTTGGGGCGCCTGACCAGCTTAGGAGCTAATCTACGGCCGGCTACGGCTTTGAGGGAGAATCATGCATGGAGCCCTCAGCAATGATGTTGGGAAATATCAGGCTCATTTCCTGAGCCTGCGCAAGTTCAGCACGTAGGCCCAATAAACCCTATACGCTTTAGGCGGAGCCCCTCGCCAACCAATAGTGACTACAGGGGGATGCCACTATAAGCAAATGGGTGGGGTGGGCATCCGAATCCTGACCCAAACCCTCTGCAATGCATGCCGGGCATGCTTCCAACAACGTCCTGAAAAATCGCTCGTCACTTTGCATGACAATCGGGTCGGCGATGATATCACAATCAGCTGCCACAAAACATGAGCACACGGTCTTCACATCATGTAAGCTTCGGAAACTCTACCAACAAACCTCCCACCTCCCCCCAACTCTCAGACTACGGAAGCCGAACACAGCCCGAACTCCACCAAGACCAGCCATACTGCACACACCGAAGCGCCGTCGCAATTGCAATAGGATATGGTGGCAGTGGCATGCGGCCAAGCAAGAGTATTGCAGCCAAGGAACTCGTCAACGACTTTCTTCATACCATAGGGTTCTATCTAATTGTCTTGCTTGCAACCAACCAACCAACCTTGCACGAAAGCGCGCTCTCGGGAACTGCTTTCCACACTGCCACGCGATCTGCCAGTAGTGCATCATTCTCCTTCGGCGCTAAAGCCAGCCTAACACGCGTACATAAAGTATGACCCTGTGCCCACGATGAGCTGCATCATGTCTCCGTCATGTTTGCGATATGCTATAGGCGGTCAATAGGTGTCAATGTCGAAGCGACCCCTCTTGTGTGTGTCCGCCTTGGCCTCCATCAGCCAGCGCGCAGCTTCAGTGTGGCCTTCCGCAGCTGCCGCCCATAGAAACGTGACAGGCCGGTGCACTTCGGTGCTGGGGCCATCCTTCCCTAGCCCTCCAGGTACCTACTATCTAGGGCCCTAGGAGCTCTGGTACCCTATATTATAGCAGGTACCTGGGGGGTTAGGGCTTGTCAGCTCCAGCTTCCAGCATCACGCGCGCAACATCAACATGGCCATATGTGCGTGCCTGCGTCGCTCGAACAATCCTTGTTATCCAAATTCAGCGCAGGATCCCGCGGAGTAAACGTCCTTACCCATAGGCCCCTAAGTAGTTTGTTTTTGGGATTACCTTATAGGATTCTAAATATAATCCACAAAAAGGAACTACTTAAGAGCCTATATGGGTATTTGCTCACCTCCAACACACAGGTCGGGTAGGGCTGGGCTGGCGCGCGACTGCAACAGTGACTAACTTCTTCGTCACGGCTTTGCTTTCCAAGGAAAGAGACGCACCAAGTGGTGGTCTACGGTAAATTCCCATGTTGACGTATACAGGTATTAATGCTGTCTGCGAAGGCTTCTAACCGCAAGCGCGCAACTTCCAGGCGGTCCGAAGCACATGCTAAACCCAGAGGGCTCTCTCCATTGCGGTTGAACAAGTGGGGGTTCTGAGGTCTTGATAGCCACTCTTCAACCTGTGTGGTGTTACCCATCTCGGCTTCGGGTCCGAGCTGGTCTGCATCATCTTCAGAAGTGTTGGCATACGGCATACGGCAAGATGACTACTTGCACATTGGATGGCAAGTCAAATCTCGCTCTGCCATCATGCAAAGGCTTGTGGAAATCTCGAGTGCCCCCAGTGTGGCACTAACTGACGCTTCACAGTTGACAAACTCCCCATAGGCCCCTAAGTAGTTCATTTTTGGTGGATTATACTTAGAATCCTACAAGGTAATCCCAAAAAGAAACTACTTAGGGGCCTCGGGGTCTTCATCTCATCCACAGGCATGCTGGCCAGCTCTTTGCCGGAAACACTCCAAAATCTCAACATGTCTTACTGGTGGCCAGTGAGGAACAGGGAAATAGAATCCTTGACTCATCCTAGACCCTCCATCTAACCTCTGTTAGACCCTAAGTACCCACTATTTGAGACCACATACCCCTATTTGAGGGCACAGTGCGGCTCCTGTTCCTTCTTCCCATAAGGATTTCGGGGCAGCCCGAGCTGAAAACTGCAGGATGTAGAATTGCATTACACGCAGCCTCAATACCTATAGAAGCTTAGAGTTTGGGGTTTAGGGTTTAGGGTTTGGGGTTAAGGTTTATAGGGGTTTAGGGTTGAGGGTTTATTTTAGAGTTTAGGGTCGGGGGTCGTCGTGCGCGCTACTTGCTATATGTTGCCATGCCACATATGGCGCTGGGCTTCAGACTGCAGCCGGAGATGCCAGTTCAGCTTCAAGACTACGAAAAGCAAGTTCCGAAACGTCTGTCGCATGGCAGGATGCTAATATAAGAGCCTCAATGGCTAGAGTTGGGTTTTCTGGGGGGTCTGCTGTACTCTAATTATGACTCTAATTCTTATAAGGCAATTGTATACACGTTCACAGGTATAATATTGGTAAAAATTCCGACCGTTAGTTTGGAAACAGGCTGCTTAGTAGTGCTGGATGGCCAGCCGAGTGCATCTGCTGGATGATGCCTGACCTCAAAACTTGCTGTATAACGGGCCACGATGCCTGCAAACTAGGAAAGCCTGTGATTTCAATAGATGTCTTCAAAGGGAAAGGGCTCAGGGTTGAGGGTTCCGGGTTTGGGGTTTAGGGTCTACGGTGCAGGGCTTAAGAACCCAAGTATCTGCATGAGGATGAAGCATTAAAATCGGAGACCTGGTTTCAGGGGGTCTGAGGAATGATCTTAGGAGGGATACATCGGGCCTTAGGATTCACAAGGCTGCAGTAAGGCTCTTTCCATAAAGTCTGAGGGTCAGCTTTGAAACCTGGGACTTGAACCATTCCACAAATGAAGGCCACCTTTCTGTAGGGCCCAAGCATGAGAAGGCTGAGCGCGTTTGGGCTTGGAGTCTGCGGCTTCAGGTTTGGCTGTCTGGGATTTAGGGCAGTGTTCAGGGTTTAGGGCGATTCCCCTGCTGTCCCACGCTTGTGAAGCCTGACTGCTGGCGCAAGTTTTGCTGACTGAGCTTGTGGCTCTGTTGCCAGTCTCACGTTGTGGCGTGGCACAGGTACTGGCAGGTTTCGCCAGACCAATGCTGCAAGAGGAATCGTTATCAGTGCGAAACCAAGGGGACTCAAATCACGTAGAAGGTGCTCGGAAAGGAAGGAGTTGAGAAAGGGGAAGGCACCGAAGATGAAGATCCCTGGCAGTAAAAGGAGCAAGGACTTAGTATAATCCAGTACTCGACAGGCACACTTTGTCTGCATGGCCCATGCCAGGCGAAACATCACGCGCCAGAGGATGGGAACCACTCCGAGCCAGTAAGACAGGCCCAAGAGGAGCTGCATGATTGCCAATATCAAATGAGCTTCATCCTCTGCCAAATAAATAAACTGCCTGAGCCCGCGTGCCGCAATGTCAAGATGAAACCAAAGGAATACCGGAGAGGCTTCGGCTAAACGCCAGTATGACACCATGTGATTGGCAAGCTGATCCACCAGCAACTTGTATAAGTCGCCTTGGACTTGCTGTTCGAAAGCTTCGATGCCACCAAACCAAATGTTGATGCATCTCTGCATCACCTCTCGGTCGCACATCAGATGTTCTTCGCTATGGGGGTGTTTGTGCTCTACAGAGCAGCAGAAGCTTTCAGCTGTTGCAAAACTGAAGCGTGCGATGTGCTGGCACATTGTGGTCACATCACGGCAGTACTCACGCACGAGGTGTGCAATGTACCAGAAAATTAATCCACAAAGAGCAAGCCCAAAGAAGATAACACCATTCCCTCCAAGGGTGGTTTGTAGAGTGAAAGCGAAGTCGAAGGCGAAACCTCCAAGTGCGCATGCAAACCAGCATGCAAACAGGGTGAATCCCAGGAGGGTCGGTCGGATGTTGACGCGCGGCTTCTCGCCTGGGGACCTGCTGCGAATGAAGGCGGCCAGCTCGTACACACACCAAAGTCGACGAGCCCAAGTTGGATCCCAAAGCACCAGCATGGCATCGGAGCATTTAAGTATGGCCCCCAAGCTCAAGGTGCCCTGCGCTTGGAGTTCAGGATTCACTTGCATACACGGTCGACAAACACTAACTGCCGTGGCCGCCAAAACAGCACTGTCAGCAAATAGGCGAGGCATCCGGAGCTCAAGCACCACCAGCTGCGCCCGTCATCATCGGGAAGCACGCCACATCCGAAAGCGATGCACGCAGCAACTGCTGCTCCTGTGCCTGCCGCGGCGGCGGCCCCGGCTTTGGTAAGGAAGAACAAAGTGGCAACCTTTCCTGAAACGGAACCATGCCAGCTGTGGGACCAGAATGCATGCAAACGAGTTGTGGTCTGGCTCAAATGATAGAAATCGGCACGAGCTCTCCTAGGCTGCTCAGTATTTGACCCACTGGGAAACAGTTTATACTTCTTTAGGATAGTTGTATTGTCGTAGGAGCCCAGAAGCAAACAACAGGCTCTATACTGAAAAGCCTAGTCTCAGGGGCCTACCCATCCTGTGAAGTACATTCTGGACACGAGTGCCCCGGACGACATCGGGCCTCACGGGCTCCATTCTTGAGATGATGTCAGCAATTCCAGCTATCCACTCTGGGGACTCTGCCTGGTTCAGACAATCCGCTGCGTCTTTGTCTGATAAAGAGCAGGACCTTTCCGCAGGCACCGACGCCTCGATGTCGAGGTCATTGTCAAGGGCTTCAGGATGTCCAAGCACGGTCACAGTCGGCAGCATGGAATGCCGGGCATGTGCGAATCTGCTAGGTATGAGTGCACATATTGTTCAGCTGTGC